TCTGTCTGTCTGTCTATCTGTCTGTCTGTCTGTCTGTCTATCTATCTATCATCTGTCTGTATGTCTATCTATCTATCAATCTATCTATCTATATATCTATCTATCTATCATCTATCTATCATCTATCTATCTGAATATCAATCAATCTGAATATCAATCAATCTATCTATCTATCTATCTGAATATCAATCAATCAATCTATCAATCTATCTATCTATCTATCTATCTATCTATCTATCTATCTATCTATCTATCTATCATCTATCTATCTATCTATCTATCTATCTATCTATCTATCTATCTGTGTCTGTCTGTCTGTCTGTGTCTATCTATCTATCTATGCACCTGTATAACATTCAATCTAACTGTCAAACTATTTTCAAGCCAACAGCAAAGTATTTCTTGAGCAGTTCAGCTTTTCTAGTTCATTGCGTTACAGTGCTCATATTTATTTATTCGTACCCCAGTGTGCTGTTAAATGTGTCCATTAGAAACCGCAGAAGCTCCTCCGAGGTGCAGAAGTAGCGATACGTGTAGAAAAACTGCTGAATAAACCCCTCGCAGTGAGCGTTCCTGTTAGCGTCAGAACAGACGTGTGTGACGAGGGTTACAGTAGTGGCAGAATCATTTGATAAAAACACGCTGCAGTCATACACACTCAGTACCTGGCGTACAGGTAGGCCATGAGGCCTCTGGCGGTGGCGGTCACTAGCGGGCAGCCTTTGCCCCGGCGCTGCTCACACAGAACGTGCAGAAGCGCAGGATCGTCCAGAGGTGCAGCTCCACAAGCAGCCAGAGAGGGCAGCAGAGAGAGCGCCAAACCCCATTGATCCACAGACAACACCTGCAACACCAACACAAAACACCTGCGCTACAAACTCAATCACACGACACTTGTGCAATTATAAATACTTGGTAAAATCACCATGCATGGCCTCATATGGCTCACTGCTAATATAAAAAGCTTCTGGCAACAACAAAAAAACAACAATAACTAATCACTAAAATACATTTGACATTTATTTACAAAGATGTGTTAATTTTAAGCGGCTTGCAGTTTATTTAAGGTTCACAGTGTTGAAAATCAAGCCCATGGCCTTGGTGATTTTAGAAACTTTTAAATACTGGATAAATACTAAGAGCTGTGAAGTGAAATCTGATTGGATAAGCCAAATTTAAAGCCAGGGTTAAATAGAATTGTTTAATTGTTGAAATTATTGTTTATTGCAATTATTCTGTTGTTGTTGTTGTTGTTATTATTTTTATTAATAGATTCGTTTTTTAATTCATGATAAATTAGATAGATTACCATTATTATGTAACTTATTATGAACTGATAACATTATTATTATTATTATTATTAAGAATAAATTAGACAGATTACCATTATTATCTAATTTATTCTAAATAGATAACAATAATATTCTATTATTATTAATATTATTAAAATAATATTGTTATTATTACTATTTATAAATTAGATGATTATTATTATGATTATTATTATCTCTTATATTATACACTATTATTAATAAACTATTAATATTATTAATAGATTATTATTAGTAGTAGTAGTAGTAGTAGTATTTAAATGTATTATAAATTAGCTAGATTACCATTATTATATAATTTATTATAAACTGATAATATTAATATTCTATTATTATTATTAAAAGATTATTGTTATTACTATTAATTTAGAATAAATTAGATGATGATGATGATGATTGTTATATAATTTATAAATTAATAATAATAATAATTATTATTATTATTACCATTATTATTAGATTATTATTGTTTATTGATAATACATTTAATAGATTATCATTATTATCCAATTCATTATAAACTGATAGTGATATTAATCGATTTGAATAGATATCAATCAATAATTATTATTATTATCATCATCATCATCATCATCATCATCATCATTATTATTATTAAAAACTATTATTTTACCAATCAAGCAATTCTGTTTTTCAAAGGCTTGAATTTGGCTCATCCAAACAGATTTCACTTCACAGTCAGATCTCTAGTTCTTATTATTTAGAAGTTCCTGACAACATCAAGGTCATGGCTGCTTAAGATAAAAGCATCCAATAAATGTAAATGTAGAATATGATTGCTTAGAAAAGTCTTCAAACCCACAGCAGAGGAAACGCAGCGTGTGCTTTGGCACAAACCTGGAGATATTTCTTGACAGACTGCAGAAACTCAACTTTTTCTCTGAGCTCGTCCAACTGCAGTTTGACTTTAGACACCATCACCTTTGTGTCTGAACCTAGAAAGAGAGACGAGCAGCTCAAACACACAAGTGAGGAACGAGGAACAGCTTTGCTGCAGAATTCACAAGCGGCAGGTTTTCTGTTTGTTCTACCTTTATTTTTCCTCTCTTGCTGAATCAGCTTGTGGTAGAAAGTACTGGTCTTTTTCAGATTTCTGCTCTCAATAATCAGCTGCTGGTGAAGCTCCTGTTTAAGAGCAATGATAAGAAAAGATCAACAACTGGATCTTGATGCTCAACTAAACTGGAAATACATGCAAATTAACCATGCATTGCATTCACAGACAACAGAACACAGGATTAGCGTTTTTATTTCACCAGTTTCACCAACTTCACCACGAATCTGTGCTTTGAAACATGGCAGCTGCTTTGTTGCAGGGTTTCCAACACTAACCAGTTTAACTAACTTAACTAACTAGTCCACAATCAACCATCTAGACCAGTGTTATTTTAATATTATTGAGATACTATTATAGCTTTTATTAATATTTTGAATACATTTTTATTTATATATTTTCCATGTATTTTAATTTTAAAGTTTTGTCAATTTTTGAAGTTTGAAATGTGTAATTTTAGTAGTTGTTTAAAACCTCTTAAACTCTGCAGACCCGGATACGGGTCCAAAACCACGTAAGACTACACAGTTTATTTTTTTTATATATATATATATTTTTTTATAATTTATTTATTGTTAAAATGTAGTTTTCATTTTAGTACATCAAGTTAAACTACGCTAAAAATGAGAAATCTTGCATTAAATTTTTTTTTTATTTATTTTTTGATTTAGTAACGAAAATGACCACATAATGACCATAAATGACGGCTTGGAGAAACAAAGTAAAACCACCTTCTATCAGAAGCTGGTTTTAGCTGCGTAGGTGGGCTTTTCAGAACCAGATTGATCTTGATTTCTAGGATAAACAATATGAAGCCAACGTGATGAAGATGTTTGGTATTACCTTGGGGTCAGTACGTTTTTTTAATGTAATGAAGCATCTTCTGCTCACCAAGGTTGCATTTATTTATCAAAAATACAGTAAAAATTGTACAATATTATTTCAATTGGAAATAACTGTTTTCTATGTGAATATATGTTCAAATGTAATTGATTTCTGTGATCAAAGCTGAATTTACAGCATCAGTATACTCCAGTCTTCAGAGTCACATGATCCTATTTGATATTATATTTTATATGTAGTCTAAAACATTTAATATTTTTGCAGAAACGGTGATACATTTCATTTTTCAGGATTCACAGATGAATAGAAAGTTCAAAAGAACAGCATTTATTTCAAATAGAAATCTTTTGCAACATTAGAAATGTCTTTAATGTCACTTTTGATCGGTTTAATGCATCCTTGCTTATTAATAAAGTATCTTGCTGACTCCAAACTTTAGATCAGTAGTGCATGTGATCAGGATGCAGACTCTGTGATCTGAACTGTCTGTATTTGTCTCTATGGTAACAGGTCAATGGTCAGCGCTTTGAAGTCCGACTGCAGCTCCGCTCCTCCTGTAGAGCGCCTCAGAAAAACAGCCCTCGACCACCATCAAAGCATCACACACACACTGAGCGCTCATATTCTGCTCTAAATATTAGATATTATCATGCACATATCTAATGCTATACTTGAACCAAATCAAAATGCACACTGTCCATATTCTGCTCCTGTTTCTGAATGTTTGATGCATGCGGTTCTTTCAAAATATGATTGATGGAAGTTCTTTATTCAATAAAGCTCTTCTGATGAGAATAAAGATGGTTCAGGATACTGTACCTGGAAAAACTCTGGCTCTATGAAATGGTGATCATATTTTGTCCCAAAATCTAAAGAAATAACTAGGAAATTATATTGCATAAAATAAAATGTGTTGCATTGTGACATTATTTTCATGCAATTATTTTCACGCTAAATGTTTAATATATGTATATATATATATATATATATAATGTAACAGTATATTACAGGATCATTAACCCTAAAATCATAAAAACATTTATCACTTGAAACTAAATACATTTTAAATTAAATTAAATTAAATTAAATTAAATTAAGCTTGTTTTATTTCAGCTAATTGCCAAGGCACCATTTCTCATTTCCATTTAGTTTAACCTGAAGTAATAAAAATAAATAAAACTAAATAAACTAAAACAAATAAATACAAATGAATAAAAACTATAAAAAAAAAAAAGTACTAAAAAGTGAACTAAAATTATAGTGAAAACAGAAAATATAAACATTAAATCTATTTTAAAATATTAAAAACTGTAATAGTATCTCAATGGTACTAAAATAACACTGATAAATTATTTAAATTGTAAATTATTTCTATTTTATTTATGCGCTATTGTACTGCTTTTAATATTTTGCTTTTAATGCTTTTTAATTATTCTCAGTCACCACTGAGAATACAAATAATTACAAAGAAACAAAAAACAAAACTGATAATTGTGGTGAAAATGTGTTTAATTGTCATGAAAATAATGTGATGCTCCAAAAAAAAACATCTTAATGGTTCTAAGAGCATGCTTAATTTTATTAAAAATATGTCTTCTTTTTTTTTTCTTCTTTAGATTTGGGGGTAAAATATGACCCATGCGAGGAAAGATTAGATACCTGTGATTTGTCCTCCAGCGTGGGCGACTGGCTGTGACTGCTGAGTTTCTGTGTGTACTCCAGCACATCCAGACCGAAGCAGTCGTCCCCGTACAGAGCCAGAGCCCAGGAGCCGCGCGGGGCCAGCCGAGGACCGCTGCAGACCGAGAGCGTCCGCTCAGACATCACAGAGTCACAGTCGTCCGTGTCGGGAGCGAGCCGCGCTTCAGCTGCACAAACACACTCTGCAGCGCCACCGTCTGGAGCCATCAGATCCATCAGCTCTATCACACACACACACACACACACACACACACACTGAACCTGACTCCATCACATCGCACCCCAAAACCAACACTATTTCTATTAGAATTTATTTGCATTGTGACCTTTACATTCAGATTATATTCATATTCATTTCACACATTTATTCTAAAATTCTCATTGTTCGTAGCAAAAAATAAAAAATAAATACCCCACTCTCATTACTGTACATTGATATTTACATTTATTCATTTAGCAAACCGTTTTTTCCAACGTGACTTACAGTTGGGAAATACATAAAGTGATTCATCTTAAAGAGGCAAACAGACAAAGGAAGTGCTCGTAAAACCAAGTTTCAAGCATTGTTCAAATAAGTACAAACTAGACAGGAAAAGATTAAAGAAAGGAGAAAACAAAGGATTTTTTTTTTTATTATTTTGGATGAAGTCATATGTAATATGAGATATGCATATATGTGTAATATACTGTAATATGAGAAAAATGCATGCTTAAATGTAACAAACATGCCATGCAATATCTATCTGTCTATCCATCCATCCATCTATCTATCCGTCTAGCCATCCGTCCGTCCGTCCGTCTATCTATCTATCTATCTATCTATCTATCTATCTATCTATCTATCTATCTATCTA